CAGACAGCCTGAATCTCTCACAGAGCCTCTTTAATCTCAACATTTAGAAATATTTATTTACTTATTTCTTACATTTGAATGTGAGCTTTTCATTTGATTAATAAACAGAAAGTAAAGATAAAGTTAACACCGGTGACAGCATGGACATTTTTTTTTTACATTTTTTTTTTATCCTTGTATGACCACGTGTCTCTTACTGGTTCTAAAGACTTTAATATAAGCAGTAACCAGGAGACGTGTCCTGCTGAGCTGAGGAGAAAATTACAGGCTTCTTCACACGTCGTCGTATGTTTCCACTCACAGAGTCCGTCAGTCTCAGAGAGGGCACTGTGTGTGAAGTAGTTTATATGATGATCTATGAACAGTTTTTCCTTCTGTAACAGCTGTTTGAACTTTAATTGTAATAATGTAATGAGAGTTGTAGTAATTTAATGATTAACTAAATGATGATGAGTTGTAATTGTGACAGCTGCTTGTTTTTTGTTGGTTTAATCAAGACTTCTGTTCCTGTCCTCGTCTTTGTCATCACAGCGGCAGGCTGTGATTGCAATAAATGTGACTGTAATCATGTTTTTTCTCTGTGACATCGTTTCAGTGCTTGTTGTTGTTGTTATTTTGACAGCTCTTCATGTGTTGTTTGTTTTTGTCCTTCTTTGTTCATGTCATCATCACAGATCGCTCTGTGAGATTGTAATTCTTGTGTAATTGTGATTCACAAAGATGTGCTAATAAGTCTGAGTGCATGTGCAGACAAATTCCCAACACACCACACATGTCCTTATTTTATTAACCCTGACCTCACCCAAAGAGGCAGCAATTACCCAGAGTGCACCGGCAGTCACAAACCTGTGTTTAATTGCAGTGAGAGCAGCGCGCTTGCCATTTTCCTCCATTAAAGTAAAAGCTCCACAGCGAGCGCTCAGATTAGCAGTAAACACACATTTACAGAGCCGAGAGCTCAGAACAGTCTGACAAAGAGCAGGATGGTAAATAAACTGGAATTACTGGTGTTAACTGGTCCACGCTGTGACGACGGAGCATCAGAGAACAGCTGTTGGTTTTAATCTCAGAGACCTGAAAACAACCACAAAATAACTCCGTCTGACAAAATTCACCTTCTGAACTGAAGTGGTCGCATTTCTGTTCATGCAGCTTATGTCAAGATTATTTTTAAATTGCACATTAAAAAGAGAGATCATACTAAATGTTCCAAAAGTTACAAAATCTGATTACAGACAAAATGTCTGACACAAAGACTGGGTGAATGTGGACAATAGTTAAACAGCTAGAAAAACAAAAACAGATATTTCTTATGGTTTTATTCAACAAGTCCTCCAGAAATGTGTCGCCTCTCTCAGCAGGACATCATCTATCTGTTTAAACCAGTTACAACTCACTGTTGAAAAATGGGGGAACAACCTAACGGGATAAATTTCAACATGGACTTTTTAAGTGGTTACACAGGGTCCATCTTTTCGTGCTTCCGGATAAGACTATATACTGGAGTTTACCAGCCTGTCGCTCATGCTGCATTTGAAGATATTACCAGCACGGCCCTTCTCGGCTTTCAATGTCCGACAGTCCACCACCAACGTTTTCACCACGTCTCGTCAACGAAAAACAAACAGATTTCGTCCTAGTTTTTATGATCAAGATCTATTTGTAGCTCGTCATCGTCTCGTTTTCATCATGGAAAAAAGGTCATTGACGAAAGACTTTTGTTAAAAAGTCAAAATTAACAGTATTATTTACTGTCCTGTGATGGATATGTGGTTAACATCAGCAGTGATGGAGAAATTTAAAAAACGATCACCAACATTAAAACCAAATCATCGAACCAAAGGAGTCACCATGTTTAATAGAATCCAGCCTCCTTTAACATGATGATTCCCAAACAGTCATCATGATTAATTATTGAGTTATTAAACTGAGCTGCTCGCCGTCCCCTCTGATGTGACAGGTGGCTCCGTGTTAGTTTTAACTGGTAAACACCATCAGGGACCATAAGTGCACAGTTGGTCCTCTTCACACCCCCACTGATGGCCCCTCTTACACCAACATGTCGTCCTCAGCAGCAGCCAGCGTCCCCTCCATGTGTCAAATGATCCCACGGGGACAGGCTGTCAGTGTCACGTCCTCACAACTGACAAAAACTGTTACTGACGATGTGTCATCGCACTTTCCTCCGTCCTGCTTCGTGTCGTTGCTCATATCAAGACACCAAATATATTCATAGAGTCCTCTGGTGCTGCACTCTGTGAAAATGTTACACCACATGATTTTTACATTTATGATACAAGATGATTCATATTGATGTAAAGTCTCAGTGAGTCAGTTTCATGTTGGCATTGAGGACATTTCACCCTCCTTTGGTCTCAACAGAACTTAAAAAATATATATATAAAAAATGTATAACTGAATCCTGCTGAACTCTAAAAGCATCAATATTTTAGATCTGGATATTAGTAGAGCTGCAACTAGTGATTATTTTCATTCTGAGGACTGTTTTTGCTTCAATAAATAATCTGTTGGTCTAGAAATTGTCAGAAAATCATGAAAAAGTGTTCATCACAAAACATCACAGCCCAAGTAAACATGTTTTATAGCTTGTTTTTTCCGGCCAACAGTCCAGAACACAAAGATTTTGAATTTACGATATAAAACAGAAGAAAGCCAAAAATATTTTTGACTTTTTTACTTGAAAAGTGACGATTAATCGATAATTAAAATAGCTGACAATTGATTTTGTGGTTTTCTGGCCTGTTGGCACCTGGCATGTCTGAGCGAGTGAAGTTAGCGATTGTTAGCAGTTTGCTTTTCCACAGAGGCCTGGGAAAATTGCGCATTTAACCCTTTGAAACCTGGAGCGACATCACTTTTCTTGCGATGCTTTCAGACGCCTTTCACATGTATTTAAACCTTTGAACCCTGAATAAATTGGTGCAAGTGGCGGATTATTTGACAGAGGGGGAGGACTTACAGGATGAAGAGGAGGGGGGCAAGAACTGAACCTTGGGGAACACCTTGGATGAGGGGAGCAGTGGGGGATTCACAGTTGTTATGCTGATGAACTGATATCTGATATCTATATCTATATCTATATATATATATATATATATATATATATATACATATACAGTACAGGCCAAAAGTTTGGACACACCTTCTCATTCAATGCATTTTCTTTATTTTCATGACTATTTACATTGTAGATTCTCACTGAAGGCATCAAAACTATGAATGAACACATGTGGAGTTATGTACTTAACAAAAAAAGGTGAAATAACTGAAAACATGTTTTATATTCTAGTTTCTTCAAAATAGCCACCCTTTGCTCTGATTACTGCTTTGCACACTCTTGGCATTCTCTCCATGAGCTTCAAGAGGTAGTCACCTGAAATGGTTTCCACTTCACAGGTGTGCCTTATCAGGGTTAATTAGTGGAATTTCTTGCTTTATCAATGGGGTTGGGACCATCAGTTGTGTTGTGCAGAAGTCAGGTTAATACACAGCCGACAGCCCTATTGGACAACTGTTAAAATTCATATTATGGCAAGAACCAATCAACTAACTAAAGAAAAACGAGTGGCCATCATTACTTTAAGAAATGAAGGTCAGTCAGTCCGGAAAATTGCAAAAACTTTAAATGTGTCCCCAAGTGGAGTCGCAAAAACCATCAAGCGCTACAACCAAACTGGCACACATGAGGACCGACCCAGGAAAGGAAGACCAAGAGTCACCTCTGCTTCTGAGGATAAGTTCATCCGAGTCACCAGCCTCAGAAATGGCAAGTTAACAGCAGCTCAGATCAGAGACCAGATGAATGCCACACAGAGTTCTAGCAGCAGACCCATCTCTAGAACAACTGTTAAGAGGAGACTGCGCCAATCAGGCCTTCATGGTCAAATAGCTGCTAGGAAACCACTGCTAAGGAGAGGCAACAAGCAGAAGAGATTTGTTTGGGCCAAGAAACACAAGGAATGGACATTAGACCAGTGGAAATCTGTGCTTTGGTCTGATGAGTCCAAATTTGAGATCTTTGGTTCCATCCGCCGTGTCTTTGTGAGACGCAGAAAAGGTGAACGGATGGATTCCACATGCCTGGTTCCCACTGTGAAGCATGGAGGAGGAGGTGTGATGGTGTGGGGGTGTTTTGCTGGTGACACTGTTGGGGATTTATTCAAAATTGAAGGCACACTGAACCAGCATGGCTACCACAGCATCCTGCAGCGACATGCCATCCCATCCGGTTTGCGTTTAGTTGGACTATCATTTATTTTTCAACAGGACAATGACCCCAAACACACCTCCAGGCTGTGTAAGGGCGATTTGACCAAGAAGGAGAGTGATGGAGTGCTGCGGCAGATGACCTGGCCTCCACAGTCACCGGACCTGAACCCAATCTAGATGGTTTGGGGTGAGCTGGACCGCAGAGTGAAGGCAAAGGGGCCAACAAGTGCTAAACACCTCTGGGAACTCCTTCAAGACTGTTGGAAAACCATTTCAGGTGACTACCTCTTGAAGCTCATGGAGAGAATGCCAAGAGTGTGCAAAGCAGTAATCAGAGCAAAGGGTGGCTATTTTGAAGAAACTAGAATATAAAACATGTTTTCAGTTATTTCACCTTTTTTTGTTAAGTACATAACTCCACATGTGTTCATTCATAGTTTTGATGCCTTCAGTGAGAATCTACAATGTAAATAGTCATGAAAATAAAGAAAACGCATTGAATGAGAAGGTGTGTCCAAACTTTTGGCCTGTACTGTATATACGCCACGGTTATTTTTTTGTCTATCGACTAATTGATTAACTGATCACTGACTAATTGTTTCAGCTCTGATATTCTGAATATTTGTATTTTACTGTGAAAACTGAGCAGCTTTGTAACAAAATTTTTCTTTGGTATAATAAAACAACATCTTATCTGCGGGGTGAGTCACTGTTTCAGTGTGACTAACAGGTGTGTGTGTGTGTGTGTGTGTGTGTGTGTGTGTTTTCAGGGGCAGGGGGAGGTTTCAGCTCGAGGTTCAGCCATGGAGGGGGACTGCCTCAGCTGTATGAAGTACCTCATGTTCATCTTCAACTTCTTTATCTTTGTGAGTTCACACAACTTTTTCTTCTTCTGTGCTTTTACATCAGACTATAAATCAGTGGTTCCCATCTGGTGGGTCGCGCTCCAAAAGTGGGTCACAGGTCCACTCTGAATGGACCGCAGGTGATTCGAGAATATGTCAAGTTTGTAAATAACACACTTTATTTTTAATGCAGTGAATTTCCAGCACAGAGCTTTTATTTTGAAGTGCTGTTTCCTGCTGTAGAGTAAATGACCAATGGACAGCTACTTGACAGAGACAGTAAACCAACTCAAGGACATAACCAAATGCAAGTATGACGCTGAAAATATTAAACTGTGTGGACCTCAAACTAATGACTGAGGAGGAATCTGGACCCTGTGGCTGCACCAGTTGGGAGCCACTGATCTAAATAATCCAGATGTTTCCAGATGTCATTTAACACAGTATGAAAGATGAATGACCATGTTGCAATTTTGTTAAGGTTTTTTTTCTGTTTTAAAAAATTCTGCTGCAGAACATGTTTCAATAAAGGGTCATATATAACATTAGGTGGAAATACATACATTTATAATTTACAATGTTATGTCAAAATATGAATTATAAGCTTCATGGAATAATTTAACACATTTTGAAACAGAGCAGAGATACGGAGCTGCTGCAGGTCCTCTTGGCAGCAAATAAGAAATCAGTCACAAGAGAATGGCTGAGCCCAGCACAGACTGCTGTGGAAGATTGGTATGGAATAAATTTATGATGTAGAAATCCTTCTGACTGAATAATTAACCCCCTCTCTCCCAGCTGGGCGGCTCCTTCCTGCTGGGTGTTGGCGTTTGGGTGCTGGTGGACCCGATGGGCTTCAGGGAGATCGTGGCAGCCAACCCCCTTCTGTTCACCGGGGTCTACGTCATCCTGGCCATGGGCAGCATGCTGTTCCTGCTGGGCTTCCTGGGCTGCTGCGGAGCCATCAGGGAGAACAAATGTCTCCTGCTCTTTGTGAGTCTGCTCCAGTTTCATCTGTCACTGATGCACTGATCAGAGCCATGTACTGGTTTTACTGGTTCAGATAGAAACACCATGATGTGTGATCGTCGTATCTCTGCGTTACACCAAAGTACTTTTCAAAGATTTCACTGTTGCAGACAAATTTCTAATGTCACAATGACATCATGAGAGAGAAAGACAGGGTGAGGAGCTCAGACATCCAGAGGGAGCTCGGAGTAGAGCTGCGGCTCCTTTGCAAGGGGTCAGTTGAGGTGGTTCAACATCTGATCAGGATCCTCCTGGGCGCCTCCTGTTAGAGGTGTTCCAGGCACGTCCAGCTGGTAGGAGGCCCCGGGGCAGACCCAGACCACACTCGAGGGATTACATATCTCATCTGGTCTGGGAACGCCTCGGGGTCCTCCAGGAGGAGCTGGACAGTGTTGCTGAGGAGAGGGACGTCTGGAGTCCGAGCTGTCTTCAGCCGGTCTTTTTCTCATCTTGATGTTCTGGCAAATCAGACACGTTTAATATTATTGTGGGTTTTCAGTCTCGGCTCATGCAAATACTGAAGTTCAGTGATGTGAACATTGTCAGCAACAGTTGCGCTCTCTGCAGCACCAAACAGGAAGCAGTAAACTGTACAGACAGTAAACATGGAGGGGACACAGGGAAGAATGTGAACAAGTCTCGCTTCTCTTGTTCTGTGCTCTGTGGTCTGCGGTGTATCTGATCCACCAACCAGCTTTTATTTTACTGAGAAGTCTTAGAGGCCGTACACATGCTGCGTCTTTAACCGCCTGGAAAGTGCGAGGTAGGGCGCTGGGTGCTACTCTTGTACCAGCTTTCAAGAGCACGGCAACAGGTTGCATCTGAGGTTGCCAAGCAACCTCAACAAGCACCATGTCACAGCCTGTTCACATGAAATCCTGAGAGCAGAGCTGATCTTCTTCCTGTCTGTGTCTGTGGGACAGATGTGACGCTCTGACAGCTCTGCACTAACATGATCAACTTCTCCTACATATTGATCACACACTGATATTTACTGAAGAAGGAAAGATATCTGTCTGCTGTGATTGGTTGGTCCTCATCACATGACATGCAGTGCAAGCTGCCGCGTTCCAAAAATTCGTTCTGAATCACATGCTTTATATTTTTACTTTTAGTATTTACTGCAGCGGCCCTGTTACATGCAGTATGCACACAATCAGGACATGAACTTTGACCCTCCAGCTTTAATATCTGTTACTTTGGAGATAAAAGAAACGCCACTTACCAAATTCACCAGAGACAGAGATCAACCCTCAGAGCTCTGCTGATGTTACTTTGTGATGTGGGTAGTTGTTTGTAATATTTATGATTATCTTGTTCTAATCAGTTACTTTAACGTGCTGTCATCCGTCACTGTGACCTCTGACAGCTGTCAATCAGCTGTCAAACTGTCATCTGTTTGCAGCTCAGTCGATGTGATGCATCGTCCGCTGTGCAGAGGATTGTGGGTCAGAACAGTCAGAGAAGCATGCTGGCTTTCATACTGCAGAATCTGACCTGATGTAGTAGAACATCCTGGTATTTTTGGCAAACTGCATTTGACATATTGTGTATGAGGACGTACTAAATCTTTGTCTGGCGTGCTGTATAGTCTGGTAGTATGAGGACTGGAACACACCGTGTGTTTGTCTCAGGATGCAGCCATCGCACCCTGAGAAACAGATGCTCTGGAACGCGTGTGCGTGGCTCTGGTGTTGCCCTGGCGTCTGAGCACACCTGCCACACATCTACATTGGAGACAATGAATTTGAGGGAGCAAAAAACGCAGCATGTGTGTTGCCCCTTCATTTTTGAAACAGTTCTCCTCCCACTAAAAGAACTCAGCTAACCATCGGAGGCTGGTAGAGTCAAGGTGACAAAATCCAAATCTAAAGTTGATACAGATACAGTTTGATTGGATTATAGTGATGCTGAACTGACAAGAACACTGTCGACATACGAGGCTTTTTATCTTGTGTTTCTAGAGTGATGTGTCTTTGTGGAGTTTGGTGTAATATTTTCCACCAGGTGCAGGATGGGAAATCTTCTCAAAAGAAATCTAGTTGTAGTTTTTAAAGTAATGACCCTGTGAGATTCTCAGTCCTTCAAATCTCAGTGTGTGAAGAAAAACTCAAACTGTCTTTAGGTGTCAGAGGCTGTCGGACTCTTTAGAGTTTTTATAAGTCTTGCAGTGTGTGGTGTGTGCACTCTATGTAAGAACAAGGTGAAACAATGCAAATGCGCCATCTAGAGGAACGAGATGATTATTACCATTCAGTGTTTATATTTTCAACCTTTATTTGGGACAGGTCACATTATGATTCAGTCAGTGCTGAACTGTGTGTTGTGTTTCATAAACTTAGACTTTCATTTTGTTTATTTACAACATCAAATATATTCATGACTCATGAACGTCTGGAGTCATTATCAAACATTTCTTCAGGTACAGTAGAGTATAATTATGATTAGAGTATTACTTCATGAGCAGATGTTCCCAGTTTAACACAGTGACTTTTTACTGGTTCCAGTTCTTCATGCTGATCCTCTTCATCTTCCTCGCTGAGCTGGCAGCTGCCATCCTGGCTTTCCTCTTCAGGGAGCACGTGAGTACTGACTCTGGATCAGTTCATCGTCAGCGGAGCTGAACTGAGTTCATCAGCAGAGAGTTGATGCACCGCAGCTCCTGATGTGATGCAGTTTCTGTCCTTTATCACAGAGGGATTAGGATGTTATTTAAGATGTTCCTCCCTGTCGTTAAATCCCTCAAGTCTTTCAAACATCTGTAAAAGAAATATGGTAACACTATTCATCAAGTCGCATGATGGGTATGAAAGCAGCACACTGGTGAGGTCAGAGGCCTCGTCACATCACAGCTGATAGACTTAAAAATACTGAAACACAGTTCAGTTTATTCTCCCGCACACAGATGTGTTCGCTCAGCTGCCGTCAACATGTAAAGTCTGTGTGGTCGTAAATCGTTAAGCTGCATGTGAACATCTGCACACGGACCACACAGACATGAACAGACACCAAATTTACAACATGCAGCTGCACAGATACACAAAGTCTGAGCTTTAACTCTGTTCACACATGTTGCAGCTCTGGGTTTCCTCTCACAGGCCTGAAGTTCGTGGACGTGTTCAGTGTGAAGCTTCTTATACACTCAGCTCTGATTGTTTTCTCCTGCTGCCTCCGCACAGGTGCACAGCAGAGAGGTTACTGTCCTGAACACACTGTGTTAGTCCCGGTAGCTCATCAGAATTCCATCAAAGGGAACCAAGAAGCCGCCGACGTACTGATCAGCTTTTCTTCTGTTTACTTTGAAGTAGTTCTGCATTGTTGAGTTGGAGTGAGAGGCAGGTGTGTACTTCTGTTTCTGGAGGGACTTTTGACCATTGAGTCTCTTGTGGAAATAGTCTGGAGCCTCTCAGCTCATTTTTCATTTCCAAGGGATGTTAGCTGGAGGTCAAAATGCCTCAGGATGAAACTGATTATATCTACAACCGATCAGAGCAATGAAATAGGTGACGTAGCGCTGAGCGACAGACGATGTAAACAGACTTCAGCGAGCAGAGATGAGCTGTGATGGTGCAGCATCAACACGTCTGTATATGAGTGAATTTGAAAAGCGTACTTCAACAGAAAGTTTCACATCAGCTGCAGCCATCTTGGTTGTTTTTGAAAATGTCTCAACAGTGCTGCTCTTCACTGAGATAGCTCAGTGCTCGGTAAAGTGTCTCAGGCATGAGGGTGAGCCGGCCAAAAATCATCACGTACTTTGTGTAAAGCGTGCAGGCTCTGCAAGTTGTCCGTCATCGTCTGAAACACGCCATGAATAAGATAAACGGCTGTGATTCGCCTGAATCAATGAGTCCAATGGGACCAGATGCATCTGCCAGAGCAAATTAAACATGAGCTCGCAGATTAATTTGATTTCCAGGAGTTCACTTCACAATGAACAGGGTTTGTGTCAGTGGGGTTGAGTTTTTTTTATTGAAGGATAAATTAAAAATCATACAGAATAACAACTGAAACAAGGCTTTTCCTTCCATTTTTCTTTTCTCTGACAAACATCCCTCCCCGCCTCCCACCCAGCCCCTCCCGCCCCTACCTTCAAAGTTCATGAAGACACAGATTCAACACAAAAATAAGTTAATAAAAGAAAGGAGGGAAAATAGAGGAGAAGGTCTTTTAAAGAACTGTGCGTGAGAGTCAATAACAATATTGTACGATTACATGATATTTCTCTCCTGTTCAGGAGCAAGTGTTTGAAGGTTAAAATAAAATATCAATCGTTGCCATTTCTTATAGAAACAGTCTTTAGAGCAGCTCTCAAGTTTGAGAGAAAATACCAGGTTTTTAAGGCCGACAGAGGATGAGGGGGGTCAGGGGACCTGACAGAGCTGTGAGAGTTCAGGGTTGCAGATCCTCTTTTAATATTTCAGACAAAGTTCCAAAAACATCGACCCAGAAGCTCTTTAGTTTGAGACAAAGATAAAGCATATGAGCGAGGTCCGCAGGGGTCACATCTTAGTCCACACTCGGGTTGATCTCTGCAAGTCTTTCCTTATATAACTGGATACGGTGCACGACCTTGAACTGTATGACGAATGTGTCCTCTTCAGAAATCCTTTGTAAGTGTGATCCCAATTTTCGATTCAGTCTCCCAAGATAGTTTTGTTTGAAAAGCAGTATGTGTATCCAATGACATACACTCAGCGACCACTTTATTAGGTACACCTGTTCAACTGCTCATTAACACAACTGGCTAATCAGCCAATCAGGTGTCAGCAGCTCATTAACATTTAGTCATGTAGACATGGTGAAGACGAGCTGCTGAAGTTCAAACGGAGCATCAGAATGATGAAGAAAGGTGATTGAAGTGACTTTGAACGTGGCATGGCTGTTGGTGCCAGACGGGCTGGTCTGAGTATTTACTGGGATTTTCAGCACAACCATCTCTAGGGTTTACAGAGGATGGTCCCAAAAAGAGAAAATATCCAGTGAGCCAAAATGCCTTGTTGATGCCAGAGGTCAGAGGAGAATGGCCAGACTGGTTCAAGATGATAGAAAGGCAACAGGAAGTCAAATGAGCACTGGTTCCAACCAAGGTGTGCAGAAGAGCATCTCTGAAGCAACAACACCTTGTCCAACCTTGAAGCAGATGGGCTACAAACTGATGACTCCACACGCTGTCCATAGACTGCTGAGTCAAAGCGGAGGGTGGGTTCCAGCATTTCCTGTCACACACATGTCAGAGGGAACACACTCATTTCTGCTGCGTTACATTTACACACAGGATTATTTTAACACACTGAAGCTGCCACTAACAATGACTTTCTTTATTGTTTAATCTGCCGAGTGTTTTCTGGATTCACTGACTTATCTTTGGGTCGACAAACGATCAGAAAGTAATGACAAACACACATCACAGGTGTCTCCTTTTTTTGGTTTTCCTGATCAACAGTCCAAACCCAAAACTCTTCACCTACTCAAAGAAGAGCAGTAAATCTTCACATTTAAGAAGCTGGAAACAGATTGTTTGTGGCATTTTTACTCATTTAAACAATTATTTAAAAGATGAATCGACTGTAGTGTTGTAACGGTGTGAGATTTTCACAGTGCGATAACCATCTCAGAAAATAGCACAATGTCATGGTATCACAGAATTATTATTATAAGTCGAAATGACCCTTAAAGGTGTGAAAACAGAAGGGTTATTTTTAGCTGAACAAATGTTTAATTACTATAAATATCTTCAAACTATTTTTGAATGCAAGTTTGTGTAAAAAGTGAAATAAAGTTGAGACTGACACTGCAGCCGAAACCGTTTTTTTTTTTTTTTTTTAAATGGGAGTTTGTGTAAAAAGAAAGAAAAACTAAAGATTTTCTGCCTAGTTGCATTTTCTTCAGTATTGTAGATATGCAAATGTACACAGTATGATAACCGTCAACTTTCATATCACAGTTTACCTGAGAGCTGGTACACCGCTGCGACACAGCACGTCTGGGTGAAGCAAAATCTGAGATTTACTTTTGCTGACTTTAAAATAGTTAATTTTCTGATGACTGACTCATCAATAAAGATTAGTGAAATAAATGGAAAACACTGCAACATGTAAGAAAAGTATGGGAAACACATACGTGTGGCTTTTATGGCTCCCAGCTGACTCCGCAGGTCTGTGTTCTCCTTCTGCAGACGGTCATTGTCAGCGTTGAGCTCAGAGATGTCGGTCAGGATACAACTACAAACAAAAACAGGACTGATCATTTGAGTACAGGTGGACGTTTGGTGTGTGTGTGTGTGTGTGTGTGTGTTGCTCACTGGTACTGCCTAAGTGCATTCTCCGTGTCATCCCAGAGTTGCAGTGTGTCCTCAGAGATGATGGTGGCCATTCTGTCCCAGTAGGTTTTATCCTCTGAAGGATCGTCCCAGAGTTTTAGATGAAGACTCTGATGTTGGCATGCTGAGCTCTCAGCTCTTCTTAGAAAGCAGCAGAAGAACATCAGCATGACATACTGACAGAGAGACGACTGTATCGCATCATTTCATGTTCAAATCTCACACACAAACCATAACACCACCTCTGTTGTCGTGGAGATACAGACATGATGTGTGTGAGCGTGTTCCTACCTGGACCTCAGGTGGTCCTGGAGGAAACTTTTTAGAGCACTTTGGAGTTGAGAGGTCAAATGAGTCATTGACGTGGTCTCCTGCAGGCGGACAAAACACAGAAACAGTAACCGTCCAATGATGTCATCGTGTTTGTCAGAAGCTCCTTTTACACTTCCTGTTCAAGGCGGGAATATCACACCGTTACTCCGCCTCGCCGTTCTGTGTAAAACGTACAATTGTGGAATGGGGGGACAGAGTTGTCTCGCCTTAAGGCAACAGCGCCAAATCAAGGACAGGACAGGTGTGACGTTTTGATGACATGTTATGTGTGCGATCCATAACGGGAGATTTAAAAAGCAGCAGTTAGCGGCTAACTCACAGAAGAACAACAGAGGCTTAAAGTGTCAAATACTGAAAACAGTGAGGTCCAGGAGCTCCTTACCCTCCGAGCAGAGGACGAGATCAGCCGCCATATAACAGGGACGCTAAATGATTGTTATTGACATGTGATGTCATTGTTATTGTTTATAAAGAGCTGCTGACGTGTACATTGTTTGTCACACTAGAGGCTGATGCTGTCGTGTTATGTCACGCCCATCACGCGTGTCACACCTGTCTCACCTCTTGCTTCCAGGATGCTGGCCTGCTATTTAATGTTGTGTTTACACCAAACGTGATGCGTATTTTTGCGTGGCATTACTCACGCAGATTTGAATGCTAGAATATTTTGTGTTTGTGTGTCTCAAGGTCATACATCCCCGGAGGATCTCAATACTGATTGGCTATCGTGGCTCAAATCGGTCACTCAAGTTCAGATTTTTCGAGCGTATGTCACAAAATCACACTGCTCACTTAATTCGCGTATTTGGTGTAATTTGCATCGCGTCTATTGCACAGCCCGGTGGAAATTGGCGTCTGATCACATCTTTACATCGACTTAACCTGTAATTCACTCACACATATTGTTCTATTTGCACCCTGTGTGAACACAACATAAAGTCAGACACTGTAGCAGCATGATGCTGCTGTTGTTGTGTGTAAAAATACAAAGGCAGTGTAAAGAAGGGACTTCGTAGCAGCTCTATATCGCTGTGTAAAAAGGGCGACAGACTCGAGGCCATATTTTGCACAAGCATCCATCCTCTGCCGTCCTCCTCACCTCAGTCTGAGATCTCCGCTGACGTTCACTGTGATCTAATAAGAAAAGAGCCAACTTGGGCACATCGTTCTCTTCAATGCCAAAAGACTGGAAGAGAAAACAACACGTGGTTGTTCAGTATCTGCTCTGTACAGTCCAACAACACACCGACACTTTACACTACATTAACTCACACAAAGAAGAGAGCGCAGCTTCACTACGGTCGGACTGTCCTTCTGCTCGGGAACCACCAGGTTCAGGAGTTTGTCGTTTATCAGGACACCCTGAGACAGAAGGAGAAACTCTGTCTTTAGTTTTAGCATAGATGATTAGATACTCTTAGATGATTGACTCAAATAATTAAAGCAGCCAAAACCTGGGAACAGAAGGAAAGAGTAATAAAATGTGGACTGGTTTACGGAAACAGATTCATAGATGTTTGCAGGTTTTTCATTTAAGACTTCAGCAGACAAATAAATTATACATCAGTGAAGAAGAAAAAGTGGACTCTTTGTTTCACCTGATAAGCAGCGGTCAGTTATGTCAGGCAAGCGCTTCAGTTAGTAAGTAGCCTGTCTATTCCGCCCCTCCGTGGCTTCAAAACCCCTTATTGTACTGTATCGTATCATATCGTACCTTCATCAAGTGTATCCCTAAATTGTCAAACTATTCCTTTAATATAAGACACACAAACAGAAAACCTTTTGTAAAAACTCTTCCTGTAATAAAATAAATAAATGAACATGAGTAATGAACTTGTTTCTCACCGCCTTGTCACACAGCAGCTCCATCACATTCCTCACTGTCTCCATCGACAGTGTGACTTCCTCCACCTCTGTCTGCACCGCTGTCCCGTCCATGTCCGTGCTCTGACTACACTCTGAAGTCTGTCCGCTGAGAGACAGCTGGTGTTTCTTGGGCTGGATGGGCTCCATCAGCTCCACAGGAGGGCGCTCCCAGGCTAAACCCAGGACCTGTTGGCAGATCAGTGAGTCCATGGCCAAAGCCCTCTCCGCTAGTTCCTTCACCTCTTTTTCAGCCATTCGACGCACGTCCCTGTATTTTTTGGCATTGGTGACTGCAAAGTGCCTGCATGATGTGAAGGAGGGGCGGAGGTGTTAAGAAAAGAGAAGAAGAGGAAAAACTTTAACCTTGCAGGATAATTGACTCACTTGATTTGCTTTTCTAAGCGTTCCTTTCGCTCGATGCAGCGTTTGAGTTCCTCAGACATCTGGCTCGCCTTTGTAGACGGTTTATCCTGAGTGGAACACTTTGCATTTCGACTTGGTGTCACTGTCTGCATTCTGAAACACAAAGACAGCCCAACAGAGAGTGAGGTAAAGGTAACTGAGTGTGTGTGAGAGAGAAAATCTGTTCTACCTGGAGATCCTTCCATTATTTTTGGCCCCTCTCTTCAGCAATGGGATGGTGGGGCTGGTTTCCTTCTTGCTGTCTTGGTGTTGTTTCTCTGTCTCCTGAGCCTGCAGAGGCAAGAATGAGATTTAAGGCCTCTCGATGCTGCGCTTTAGTCTGACAACTGGTTTCTGAGGCTGATTCCAGTTCAGTTTTACATCAAAGGAAAATCCGCGGTTCAGTAGGAGCTCTCTTTGTATGCCTCTGAGCCGGCAGTAGCTGTAGTCAAAGGTCTGTGACCTTGCCCCTGTCTCATTTTATGAACGCAATTTCTCAAGACAGCCGTAAGGGAATTTACACAAATTTTGCACAAACGTCCAGTTGGACTCACAAATGAACTGATTAGAATTTGGTGGTCAAAGGTGAAGGTCACTGTGACCTAACAAAACATGTTTTTGGCCATAACTCAGTGACAGTGAGATACTGGCTACAGTGATGAAACAAAACCAGCATCAGATGGACTGTATTCATAATCAATACGCCACAATAATATAAATAACCAGCACCAATTCATCAATCAATGAGAATGTGTGTGTGTGGGCGGGGCTTAAGCACATACAGCCAGCAGCAGCAGCGACCCACCGTCCGACACCTGCACACCTTGAGGACGGAAACAGAGGAGCACCTGCTGCAGCAAGCCAACATGCCGTCTGCGGTCATTTTGACTTGACCAGCTGACTTGACTACAAGCTGATTGGCTGTTGAAACAGGTGACGTGCTTTAAAACCAGCCGCCGGCCATTTGACCAGCTGAGTGTCAGGTGACATCATCAGCCGGCTTGAGTCGAGCTCAGACCGGCCAGTTCACACCGCTGACACTTTTCTCTGTGACGTTCTACAGCAGTTTCTTCTCGTCGTGAAATCTTTGGTCTGAACTGGACTGAACAAGGAAAAAATAATGAAGTGATGACATTTTATATCCGAAAGGTCAAAGGTCAGCTTGACTGTGACATCATCATGTTTTAACGTCATATCTCAGGAACAGAATTTTTAATAGTTTCAAACCTACTTGATCCTTTTACAGTCATGTTATAGTTTAGTGTCCTGAGCTGCAAACCTTTAAACCTCTGTAGCTCCAGTGCTGTGTGCAGGAACATTAATGTGCAGCCCTGCTGTTTGTTTGATATCATTTTTCATGAACATGTTGTGCAGCTGGAAATACCGAAATATATATCGTCACTCAACTTGTACTGAGATATACATTTTTTGTCCATATGGCCCAGCCTGAAGAGACAGACAACTATTCACACTCACATCAACGGACAATTTACAGTCACCAATTAACCTGCATGTCTTTTGACTGATGACATAATGTCCAAAAGGTCAAAGGTCAGCTTGACTGTGACATCATCATGTTTTAACGTCATATCTCAGGAACAGAAGGGGAGACATTTGGTCAGATACTGAATTGGTGACTCTAATCTTGAAACTGTGCTGATTGTATAGATCTTCTGTGTGTGAAGCATCCATGTTTTCACTGACATGGATGGAGACTGTCAGAGACACTGGACTGGTGGGCGGAGTCATACAACCACAGGGTGGTTATTCTAGTATTAAACAGAGATCATAGCAAAAAGGCTACATTCAAAGGATAAGATACCGGGGAGCATCTCTATATTCGTGCATACCTGAAGTATTCCAATCTGTCCTTCCTCGATCTTCAGGTCATTCATCATGCTCTTAATCATGGCGTCAGACACCTCCTCTGCCTTCTTACTCCTCTCCTTCAGCATCTCCGACTAGAAAAAGAGTTGTTATGTGTCCAATGTAAGACATAAGGTATGAATGAGGACTAAAGGTTGAGTGTGTACGTGTGTGTGTGTGTGTGTGTGTGTGTGTGTGTGTGTGTTATCCTGACCAGTTCGTCCCCAGTGATTTTTCGTTGCTCCCATTCAACCATGTCTTTTCTGAGCGTTTCTTCAAATTCCTCCTGAAACATTTTCTGCCAACAACACAGGTGTAAACATCAGTAGGAAAGACAACAATGGCACAAAAACACCAGCACTAGTCCCTGTAGACTGAACTACTGCCGCCCCAAAAAATCCAAAACAAGCTCAGGCTGGCCCGGCAGTGAGTGAGGAGGAGCGACAGAGTACGACTACTGGACCTGTACAGGTCGTCAGCCAATACTCTCACTCTTCCCTCCCCACTCAACCAACTGGTTACTGAGTCTGACAGTCCAAAACCAGTCCAGAGTGGATCCCTGTAGATTCAACCAGATTCCACGGATGATTTAGAGATCTGTGTCCTACCTCAGCCTCGGCCATCTTCTTCCTGTAGGTCTCTTTCAGGGTTTTATCCTGCTCCTCCATCGTCTTCCTCATCAGGTCCAACTCCTCCTCCTGCTCCCTCAGCTCCTTCACGTAGAGATCATTGACTTCATTCAGCCTCTGTTCAGAGAAAACACAGGACGTGATGAAATGAGTGGACGACACCTTGAGAAGACAATGTGGACAGACAGACGGACAGACTGATTTACCTGTTGCAGGTGTTTTTTCTTGTCCTCCATGACAGTGATACATAACAGTAACTGGCTGTTCAGGGCGTCCAGCTGCTCCTGACTCATCTCCCCCCGAGCTCTCGACCCCCGCATTGTGTCCAACTCCCCAAATATTTTATGGCAGTATTTTGCGTCCTCCTCCTCCTGCTTCAGTCTGGACGATGGTGGCAAACACATGGGATGAAAGACAGAACAGTAGGAATGGTGTGGAGGATGTAGCAAGTAAAAATGCCCCTTTAGCTTTGCAAAGTCTGCTGCAGTCTGCTGCTACGGGTGTTGGTTTAAGTCTTATTCAGTTACCTGATTCTTTGAGCTTCCTCCAGCTCGCTCCTTCGCTTTGACTCTTTGGCGTCCACTGCAGTTTGGACGTTGGTCACTAAATCCTCCTGCGTGTCCATCATCCTCTGAGGAGAGATTAAAATAAAACAGGACCATTTTTTCTGAGTACACATGACACAGTCACCACAGATACTATGTGAAAGGTTATTCTCTCAGTTTGCAGACACCATATGCAACAGATAAAATGTTCCTGCTACCAAACGCTAAAACAACACGTGTGAGACAGGAAACAGTTTTGTTCAGAGCCGTGACAGGTGGAATCCATGGCCAGTGAATACTGTTAAAGAGAATATTGAGGAATGTTTTAACATTCTCATGTTGATGTCAGCGACTGTTCTTTATGCTGGGTTCACATGACATGATATCAGCCCGGTTACAGCCTGACGCAGTGACGTACGGTGTCGGCTGGCATCATGAATGATAATCAGTGTCGTACGCGATAATCCATCGTTTCATCTTGTTGTGTGTCATAGTAGACGACAACCGACACCATGTCTTGGACGCCTCACAAGGTCCCAACAGAAAGTCTAGCATGTTTGATTTTCTTTTAGTCTTCCACGACTTCTCCCATCACAGCCGTCACTTTGACCAATAGGAACACAGAGTGATCTGTTACCGTGGAAACTGTAGGACAACAACAGCCCAGCCTTTTAGATATTTCTTGTAGGGACGTTAGCACACAGAGTAAAAAGCAAACAGCAGAGGCACTTTATCAACCCGCTGAGTACTGCCATTAGCATCAAGCTAGCAAAGAATGTTCTTTCTTCATAATGGAGGATATAAAGGAACTCACAGATGTCGTCTGGGCCTTTACTCAGCACAGCTGCTCCCATTTGCCTTGATAAAGTTAATGCATTGTGCCATCATTTCAAACTCAACACTTCCTGTACGTACCTGTATAAAATTAAAAGCCTCCTTTAACTTTGGTTGAGAGAATCCCTTAATTTTCTAAATAGGCTTTTATTGTGAAACAGTTGCAGGAAGTTGTTTTGAAGGATTCAGTGACGTACATAGTTTGCATGAGGTAGCTCCTCCCATCTGGTGGCACTTTTTAGGGGACTACAATAACAGTTCAGCTGGCACACGAACAAACACAGTGACTGAAATAACAGTAAACGTAATAACAATAGGACAAGAATAACCTGATGACATCACACACGTTGTGAAAGACGACTGGGGATAATTGGTGAGTACCATCGTGTAGTGTGTCATGTCTGTCGGCCAAGTCACGGCACAATTTTATGACTCCACAATCATCTAATGTGACACAGTGACTGTTGGAACAGACAAAAATGTCCTGCAGTGTGAACCAGGCATTACTTTGTTTTTTTATTTTTTATTTTGACCCTTGCTGAAGCTGACTGGCTGAAAAAGCACGACCTGCCTTCCCCCACCATAAATTAGTCATTAGATTTTTTAAAACGTTGATGTTTGAATTTGAGTGTGACATGCTGGTTAGTTCGTGCTGTCGGTTTATTTGCGGCCAAATTTTAAAAGAGACGTAGAATAAAGTGATTTTCATGAAACATCACTATTTTAAGATCAGATTTGGTTGAGTTTGTTGCACATTATGTGACCAACGACCGTCAGAAATTTCTGTGATAAACAGTCCCATTTTGGCAATTTTTAAAGAAAACGTGCTGCAGGCAGGTTTGGAAGGCGGGAAAACAAATACAAAATACAACCATTTACATTGTATGAGCTGAGCTGTCTCCCCAGTGCTTAAAAATTATTTGACATGCCGCCCCCTTTTTTATTTTACACCACTCCCTCCTGCCATATTAGTAAGGAACAGTCCCTTATGGGGGTGATGATTTTCCAGGTGTTACCATGGAAACGGAGTTATGGCTGGTGAAAAACTTTTAAATTTTGATTGCAAAATGCATATTAATATAGGAATTAATGTCCTTTTTTTTGGGGGGGGGGGGGGGGGGGGGGGGTGGGGGGGGGTGACCATGAACTGCGAGGTGTCCATAATGAAGGAAACTATAATTGTTATATTGTAAAACTATAATTAAAGTTTCATAATCAGGAGTTAACCTTCCGACACCCAGTGAGAACCAACCGGGACCTCAACGTTGATTTCTGGTAGCATACTGGTTGATATTCGGCCTGAACGTCTCCGAGCTCTCTTTAACCACTGAAACATCAACGTGTCAGAAAAACTAATCTGTTTAATCTCAGTGTGAATGTATTAATGCTGAGATCTGTAATATTGACTTTCAACTTAGAAATTTAATTTCATTTCACATCTGACCAAACACCTCCAAACCTGAGCACACAGCCGGGGCTCAACGGACGACGGTTGATTGATCCGTTAGTCTCCGGTAAAGTGAAAGTGACACGCGGACTCACCGAGTCTCTCTTGGCCTCACGGAGGGTTCAGATCTCTCTCCTGGATCCGGATCAACAGATGTTCATGTGTAAACTGCCTCTGTTAAAACACTGAGACACAAACACAGGAGCCTCTCTCTCTCTCTCTCTCTCTCTCTCTCTCTCTCTCTCTCTCTCTCTCTCTGTGGCTGCGCGATGTTTACTGACCGTTTCTATGGCGACGGAGACATCAGAGCGATGCGCGCTGCCTTCACGTGCACCTCGTAAACTGCAGACTCAAAGGTCGTGGGGGAAAGAAATGTTTGCACCACCTCCTGAGACTTTGGGATGTGGTGGAGTGGGAGATTCTCATCATGGATGTGCAGCAACTGTGTGATGTCATCATGTCAATATGGACCAACATCTCTGAGGAATGTTTCCAGCACCTTGTTGAATCTGTGACACCAAGAATTAAAAACGGGTCCAACCTGGTACCAGCAAGGTGTACCTAATAAAGTGGCCAGGGAATGTTTGATGATTATATATTTGTGCACTAATCTCCAGACATTTGTCTCAAGGTAATTCGAGGAGTAAAAATAAACACTGAGAATAAAGAGTCTTATTTGGAAATACAGAAAAAGGTCGTGTCCAGACGGAGCGTGTTCGCCTGTCAGGTTCTAAAATCTACAGAAAACATCAGATCCATAAAGGTCTCTGACAGATTTGAGTCCCTTTTGTTCCCATGTAAGGAAATCATGGGGCTGAATATCTGATGAACATTTGATCCTTTATGTGGAGCACTAAATAAACTGTATGTGCAAACTTGAAGAAAAGATCTCGACTGAGCTGAAGTGTGTTTGTGTCTCTGTCCAGTTAACCAGAGAGTATTTCAGCAGGGAGCTCAAACGTCACTACCAAGGTCACAACAACACTGACGTCTTTACATCCACATGGAACGCCATTATGACCACGGTGAAGCATCCATTTTATAATTACCTCTCTTCTTTTTCCTTCTTTCCTCCTTATAATCAATCCACACCACCGTCCATCAGTGACTAACTCCGTCCCTTCATGTGTCTCTGCAGTTCGACTGCTGTGGCGTTAGCGGTCCCGAGGACTTCGAGGAGAGCCTCTTCAGACTCCTCAGCCCCAATAAGATGGTCCCTGAGGCCTGTTGCCAGAGGAACGGTTACCTCGGAGACGCCGCCGTGGAGCAGTGTGTGAGCGGCAGCGTGGTCTTCAGACACAACAAGGTCATTACAGATGACACACACTCCAAAGGCCATCATGTCACGTTGGAGAGTAGGGATGGTAATCAATAAGACTTTGTTGACACCAGTGCCATTATTGATTCTGCTTATTCTTTGTCGATTCTCGTATTGATTCCTGAACAGTTTTCTGTGTGGACGAAAAAGTACAGTTTTATCAGTGAGTTTGAACACGGTGGAGAGGAAACAAGACAAGCATTCATTTTTATTTTGAGTTTCTGAGTCAAAGAATAAAACCTGCTCAGCTTGCTTACGTGACGCTAATGTTCATCATAACATGTCATGTCATTGTAACATAATTAGAATTATCATTACATCATTGATGTCATTATTTAACAGGATATTTACCCTCGATAACGGACGTGCTGCTTGGTTGGGAAGCAGTGGTACTCATATGTAGAGCGTCACACACACATGGCAAGGCAAAAAAACCAAAACAGGCAGAATTGGAAAACCCTCCCCTCGTCCTGCAGCTCTCCCCTCTCTGTCCTAAGCCCCTCCCACCAGACGACCATGGGCATACTGTGTGTGCACGTGCTTTATACAGTTGCAGAGTTGCCCTGCTCTCTCTCTGTTTATCAGACCACGAATGAGAAAAGAATTAGCTGCTAGCCGCCCCACGCTCCCTGCGTCTCACTCCCCACCACTGTGGACTGCTTCCCCAGGTGGAGAGTGGGCAGCATCTCCGGAGACAGACCTCCAGTCTGAGGCTGTAGCAGCTTGTATAGCAGCACAATACCCCCCAGCGCCAGGTGTCACAGCGGGCTGGTGGCCAGCAGCAGCATCAGGTCCAACCTTTGTAACAGCAGCAACAGAAAGTTTGTTGATTCAGTAGGGAGTCGGGGCTGTCCGGTCCCTCAGAGCTGGGGTTTGTGCTGACTGTAGTCCATCTCCGGAGCTGCTGCCTGCTCTCCTCCCAGTGAGCTGATCTGTAGCGGTGGGAGTGAGGTGGAGGACACACTGTGATTCGAGACAGTTGCTAACATTAGCTACATAAACATGAACTTGAAGCTGCAGCTGTGAGCCTTTAGCTCAGGTTAGCAGAAGGCTAAACCATTAGCAACATTTCCTCTCCATCTCTGAAACACTTCACTGATACTGACACGTTTTATTTCGTTTATTGTCAGACTCTCTTTTGTGCAGAAATATGTTTCATCATTTTGCAGGTTTTACTCTCTGACTTGAGATGATTATTTTCCAGACATCACAGCAGCACAGTTATCATCTTTCTTTGTCAAATGAAGCCACTCTCTGGGAGCTCAAGATCTTTTATGTATCTCCTCTTAAGGTTCAAACTCAACACTTCACGTCCACTGTAAGATACTGAACCACCTGCAAGGATTTTACACAGACTTTTAAATTCATTTGAAGTTATATTTTATACTGTATCACAGGAACAGTGGACACACCGCAGTGTCAGAATAATTCAGCACAGTTTCCTGATCATGTCTGTGTGTTTGATTTCCTGCAGGGCTGTTACTCTGCACTGGTCGACTACTTTGAGACGTACATTTACACAGCAGGAGCTCTGGCCATCGTGGTGCTGACCATCGAAGTAAGTTTTATCACTTTATAATAAAACACTGAATTATTCCTTGTTGTTTTGGACTGATTTAGTTTTTGTAAATGATACAAACAGAGATAGTTGTCAGAGATTTTATCTGTTGAAAAACCACAACATTCATATCTGAAGATGTGAGCTAACAGCACAATGAAGACTGACAGATTAGTTTTTCAGACAAACTCAGAAACTTCACTCAGTCTTTGAGGAGGCTTTTTATGTAGCATATGTTTCATCAGCCATTCATGAAGTTCGACATGAAATCCTGACATTGGTAAATGTGAATTACTGGAATATGTGGAACTTTATGAATTTATTTGACTGAAGAATGAACAACACTGAATAAAAACATCACTCTGAAACATGATTAACAGTTTAAAAGCCAACTGTTTCTGTATCTGGAGTCTGAAGTCTCATCATGTTCCAGAAATATAACGTCACATTAAGATGTCTCTCGTTCTCTCCGCAGCTCTTCGCCATGGTGTTTGCGATGTGTTTGTTCAGAGGTATCCAGTAACCGCCGCGTCCACACGCATCATCAGCGGCCGTCAGTGCAGAGAACACAAACTGTAAAATATGAAATGTATTTGTACAGTGATAGTTTCTGTGTCTCATTGGTTTTGTGACATCATTTTGTACTTCACAGCAGCAGCGAGGCGTTTGAGGTACTGCTTAGGGCACAGTAGACACACACAGGAAGTAATCCGCCACCTGAAGACGAGGTTCTGCACTGTTTCCTCCAAAGTAAAGGATTAACACTGGTGCTAAGAGGCTCTGCAGGCTGAGGGCAAACTCATTTATAAGTGGTCACTTCAGGATGAATCTGTGTCCTGGAAACACGCTCATGATTTACAGCCTGATTCTCACCTCGACTGGTTTTCAGGATCTCAGAGAGTCTGCACAATTTCAGCACAGCACAGGTCAGGTTCAAGCAGCACACGATAATAGGCAGTGAGCCTCAGAACAGGATTATAACGAAAATGTGAAGATGATCATTTAGTTTGAGCTGATCAACAATGGAAATCAGACGACGTCGGCCTCATGCAAGAACACTTTTGTTTTCTCATCAAAAACTTGTCTTTCTCTTTACTGTTGGAAGTCGCCAAACTCAGGACGTGTTGTTAAACATTTGTTTGATTCACTGGATTTGGCTGATGCGGTCTTCAAAGGACGTGGTCGACGTCGACCACGAAGGCTGCAGCCCCTGAATTGAGACACAGCCACTGTTATCAGGTTGTCCATACATCCGTCCCATTCTGGTGAACTTGATATCTCAAGAACACCCTGAGGGAATTTCTTCAAATTCAGCACAAACGTCCACTTTGACAACAATGATCTAATCAGAATGTGGTGGTTGAGGGTCAAAGGTCAGTGTGACCTCACAAAATGTTTTTGGCCATAACTGAAGGATTCATTCACTAATTATGACCAAACTTGACACACATGTCTGACAGGATAAAATAATGAAGTTGTAGTGAATTTGCTTCACAAAACACAAAACCTACAAGCCACTGAGGGGCTGCTATACCGGTACATGATTATTTTACGTGTCTCCTATGTGCAGTGGGTCGGTTAATTCAGACTCACAAGCGTCCGTGCAGCAATACTCAAGTGTGTTTATTTACACATCCTCTGGTGCATCACAAGAAGCGTCCGTTGATCCACATGTACGTATACCATTAATAACTTGCATGCAAAAACAAACAAAGGCTCCATTGTCAGCCACGCTACACCTGACGGTCAAAAAACTGTATGCTTCACCGGAAAGCAACTTTCAACTGTCATGGCTTCATATGAGTCCAGAAGGACGTGGATGTAAACTGTAACTGCAACTTGTCCAGGTCTCGAAGGCAAACAACTGCAAGGTGGTAATTCTAGTTGAAGTGTAAATCCAATCTCCAGAAGTAAAAAGCGAACACTTGGCTATCAGTGAACTACAGCACAGTCACATGGCTTCAGCGTCATCACTAACTCTGTTGCACTGTGCCTGACGGAAAAACAGCTACAGGTCTGTAAAACACAGCCATGCTGCTGGAAACACAGTGATGACTCTAGAAACAACTGGTTTTGATGTTTGTTGGTCTCAAACAGTGGTCTGCAGCTTGGATGGTGTGTCTCTCCCAGGTGTCACACCATCCAAGAAACTTGTCATTGTCCCTCAGAGAAAACTCTAAATCTGAGAAAGTTTCTGAATCAGGAACAAATTCTGTCTTTCTACAGGAGGTTCTTACACGAGGCCGAGCGTCAGCGACACCAGTCAGACATCATTAAACGTATCTGTTCACAGTCAGGATTTAAAACACGTGTTTACAGGGTCTGTCCACTCACCCAGGGTTCAGTGTAAGATATTATAACCATTAAAGGAGTATTCTGTATTTAGGTTTGTGGTGGAGCACCTGTGCATCAACTTCACAACATGAGACTGAATGTGTGTGTGTGAGTGTGTGTTTATATGTAAATAAGCCTCAGTGGGACTGTGTCAGTGTACAGTGTGTGTTTGTGTGTGTTTGTGCACAGTGTGATACTTTTGTCAGTAGTTAAATAAAAACAGGAGGTTAGCTGAAACAATATTTTACTGTAAATGTGTGTTTTGAAACTTGATTTGTATAAATGGCACTGATTGATATTAAACTGATCTCTGTGGTTTTAGTGCTGCGAAGTTTTTATTTCTCCTTCACACACAAACACAGAGACGTTTTACTCACAGTGGAGTTTATTCATATAAACAGTTTGATCACACACACAACACATGATATTTCTCATTTTATTTGAATGATTTTTCAAGGCCTTGGGGACATAACAGTATCCAGTGTTTCATAAAAAAAATCTGCCTAATTTAGTGAAATGTCTTTATATATATTTAGAGTACTTATATTTCATCTGTATGTGCTGCCATAGTTTACCTGAATTTTTGTGTTATGTTTTTATTATTAAAATAAGTCAATAAATCGATATAAATAAACATTAATAAATATATAATAAATAAATATACAACTCACCTGTAAGCCTTTCTGGTAGCTTTTATTTTATTTTATTTCAAATTATTTTATGTCATTTATTTATTTTTTTTGTAAACATCTTTTGGCTTGTTTGGGCTTTCATGAGTGGTTCGGTTTTTGTAACAGATGTTGTAAATATTCAGCACTGCAAACAAATGATCACGACTGTTTTCTTGAGACCAGAGAAGAATATATTTGATCCCAAATACATTGTAACCTTTAATATGTTGATGTCTGTATGACAGTATGCACATAAACGCCTGTTTGAGCAGGTTGAGGAAAGGCCCCACCTTTAGCACATCACCTGTCCATCAGTGTCAAAGCGCCACCTGTTGGCAGCAGGAAAAACAAGTTTTAGTGGTTCTGAGTCATTTATAAATTAATATAATATTCTCTGTTGCTGCTGTTAATAATTACTGTATAATAAAGTCAGTGGATGACGTAATAAATAGGTGTTTTAGCTGCAATATCAAGTGTCTGCAGTGTGGGAAAACAACAACACGCATGCTCAGCAGGCTGCACTCTGATTGGCTGGTTCCCCGAGTACTGCTGACGTCACTGGCTCCTAGCGGTCAGCCTTCGTATTTCTGTCAGAGCTGATCGTAAGTGCAGTCATCATAAATAATCTTCTACAGGAGACATTATAAAGTCTGCTCTCTGAGGAGACACGTTATATAAATCTCCTCGGTGCCCTCCGGCCGCTGAACGTTGTTATAAACCAAACTTCCGGTGGAAATAAACACATTTAAGGTGGAGTGGTCCACCGGGACAAGATGGCGAACAGTTCTGCTAACGTTAGCTTGTCAGAGGAGCCTTTTTTTTGTTTCATTTGCCTCCTGTCTGTGTGTTTTATGTGAAGAGGATGGCACCTGGTTAAGATCAGACTTTAAGGATGTAAATCATGTTTCTGAGAGTTAACAAACACGACAGCACCGGACATCACCGTAAAACTGTGTTAAACAACTCTACGGGAACTGACAGCGGTCATAAAGGGGGGATGGAGCAGGACGACAGGTGAGTGCTCAGACTGATTATCACCTGTGTTACACTGTTTTTTTGGTTAATCATCAGAGTAGTAGCTGCCTCTCTTTTTCTTTTTCACTAAAGATAACTGATGAAACAGGTGTTTGTGTCAGCCTGTTGTTATTACTATAAATATTACATTGCTTTATGTTAATGTTAGCTACATCTATAGGTACTGTCTATACTGGTGCACAATAGGCTAATAATAATAATAATAATAATAATAATAATAATATTCTCACCAACACCTGTTGAATGCAGGGACTGAATGTAGTCAGTGCAGGCAGTGTGGCTGCACCGGGGCCCCTGAGATGGGGACGTGTTGGGTGGAGGATGGGCCCTTATGAGTGATTGCCACCTTAACAATATGCCGTGTTTAAAGAACTCTCATTTGATTAAAAACAGTGCCACTGAAAAAGGCAAATCATCTGTCATGTTTATTTATTTATTTATTTTTTCATAAATTGTCAATAACAAAATTAAAATGAAATAATTAAATCACCTATTCTATAAATAAACTATCAAAATTGTTAAATTAATAATTATTATGTTCTTTGGTATTTTTGTCATATGCAGATATGCAGTGATGACTGCTGGGTATGTTTTTGTTATCCACTGCTTGAATGTTTATATTTATTCAACATATAATGCACATAACTGTTCATATTTCTTATGTTTATTCTTATTCTTGTTTTATTCTATTGATGTATATATATATATATATATATTGTAGTGAACATTATAGCATGATATATTAAATATTTAATTTAATAGTACATGTTTTATATTTCTGTACAGTGTAATGTAGCACAGTGCACATATTTGGATATTTTTTACAGACTCAACACAGTCAGCTTAATTGTATTATCTTGAGTACTAGTAATAAACACTGTAATATAATGCACATTTTTATTTCTATTATATTTTACTTTATTACTTTACATTTACATAGTTTTGTTCCATACTCTTATTTGTACTTCTTATAATTCTCTATACTAGGGATGCACGATATTGATATCTGATATGTTGATATATGTCTGATATATATAACAACATATTTGATTGAGTAATACAGAGAGTAAATAGATGAGAAGAATCCCAACACTATACGTACTGCGCTGTCTACCCAACAGGATATAGAGGAGGTCAATGAGCACAACCATGAACATCTACAGGAGGAAATGACGCAGACACATACATGCAGCAGGAATATTTATCCAAAAACATCAGATAGAATAAAACACTGACAGCGTGGAACACATTACTGCAACATACTTTTACTTTAAGTACTTTCAGTACATTTTGCTGATACATACAGTACAGGCCAAAAGTTTGGACACACCTTCTCATTCAATGCGTTTTCTTTATTTTCATGACTATTTACATTGTAGATTCTCACTGAAGGCATCAAAACTATGAATGAACACATGTGGAGTTATGTACTTAACAAAAAAAGGTGAAATAACTGAAAACATGTTTTATATTCTAGTTTCTTCAAAATAGCCACCCTTTGCTCTGATTACTGCTTTGCACACTCTTGGCATTCTCTCCATGAGCTTCAAGAGGTAGTCACCTGAAATGGTTTCCACTTCACAGGTGTGCCTTATCAGGGTTAATTAGTGGCATTTCTTGCTTTATCAATGGGGTTGGGACCATCAGTTGTGTTGTGCAGAAGTCAGGTTAATACACAGCCGACAGCCCTATTGGACAACTGTTAAAATTCATATTATGGCAAGAACCAATCAGCTAACTAAAGAAAAACTAGTGGCCATCATTACTTTAAGAAATGAAGGTCAGTCAGTCCGGAAAATTGCAAAAACTTTAAATGTGTCCCCAAGTGGAGTCGCAAAAACCATCAAGCGCTACAACGAAACTGGCACACATGAGGACCGACCCAGGAAAGGAAGACCAAGAGTCACCTCTGCTTCTGAGGATAAGTTCATCCGAGTCACCAGCCTCAGAAATGGCAAGTTAACAGCAGCTCACATCAGAGACCAGATGAATGCCACACAGAGTTCTAGCAGCAGACCCATCTCTAGAACAACTGTTAAGAGGAGACTGCGCCAATCAGGCCTTCATGGTCAAATAGCTGCTAGGAAACCACTGCTAAGGAGAGGCAACAAGCAGAAGAGATTTGTTTGGGCCAAGAAACACAAGGAATGGACATTAGACCAGTGGAAATCTGTGCTTTGGTCTGATGAGTCCAAATTTGAGATCTTTGGTTCCAACCGCCGTGTCTTTGTGAGACGCAGAAAAGGTGAACGGATGGATTCCACATGCCTGGTTCCCACTGTGAAGCATGGAGGAGGAGGTGTGATGGTGTGGGGGTGTTTTGCTGGTGACACTGTTGGGGATTTATTCAAAATTGAAGGCACACTGAAGCAGCATGGCTACCACAGCATCCTGCAGCG